GCCTGCTTGTTCCGGCTCGATGAGCGGCCCGCGCCCCGTACTGACCCTGGGCAGCACTTCAGAAGCGCGAAAGCGGCAGCTGATCTGTTCGGTCAGAGAAGCCGGCTATTGCAACTTGGGCGAGCGAAGGTACGGTAGCCGGCGCAGCTATCAGATGGCAGAAGCAGGCTGCAGCAGCCAACTACAGCAGCGGCGCTGCGAAGCTGGCAAGGGTGGTGGGGTGCGCGCTAGGAATCGTAAGCGGCGCATTCACACCGATCAAGAGCGGGTTACGGCACAGCCGGCTTTTCGCCCGGTCTGCTACTGTATACATCGATGCCCCCACTCCCGCCCTCTCACACGCCTGACCCGTGATTGCACCTGTGGTCGCCGATCCCTAGAGCCCATCAATGCGCCCCGCAGCCAAGACTGTCCGTGCGTGCAGTCTCTAACCCTATCCGAGCCCTGCAATCAAGCTTTGCCCGCCATGCAAGGCTGCCAGCAACGCTTCGAATGTGCTACAATAGTATGCTGTATCTGCCAGAGTTGCGAGCATTGGAACTATGGTGCACGTAGTATGCGGAACGACGGTGTGCATGAACGCTTGCTGCTGTGGCTTCCAGTTGCGGTGGGTGCAAAGTCGCCTCCTTCGCGCTCGCCAGGCTGCAGCCGCCCGCCCCAAAGCCGAGGCTGGGCTGCAACAAATCTTCTGAAATCGCGTCGTGCGTGCCTTGTTGTGAGCAGCGCTGTCTGTGCACGCTCGAGGAGGCCTGGCGCCTCCAATTGGATCTTCTCGTTTTTATCTCTTTATTTTTTTTCCTCGCCTCGCGCCCGCGTGCACTTTGCGGTACCCCAGCGTAGGAGTCAACAGGCAGCAGAGCCAAAGAGCGAAGGAAGCGAGCTAAGTTGATCCTGCTCGTCATCGTGGCCGATTGTGACTGTGCCGGATGAAGCGGCCCGCCTGCAGCCTGCTGTACAGACTGCTGTGCAGATTGACCGCAGCCCGCCGCTCTTCTGCCTGCCTACCTACCTGCGTGTCTGCCTACCTGCCTGCGCGGCTGCTCCGCTTCTTCCACGCCTGGGTTTTGCACGCCTTCCACCGCGGCCGCCTTGGCGTTTCAGCATTCTTCCTTCTTTCGCGAGCCTCGGCCCAAGACGGTCAAAGCGGCCTGCTTTGCTCTCTGACCCCGTTCGCTCGGCTTTTCACCTCCTTCCTTCGCTA